CGGACTTATCGCTCTGTCGCCAGGCTGAGAGTGCAGTGGGCTGAATCTCAGTCACTGGCAAGCTCCGCCTCCCGGGTGTAGCGCCATGTTCCTGCCTCAGCTCCCGAGTTAGCTCGGACTATCAAGGCGCCGCCACCACGCCTTCTGAAGTTTTGGTATTTTGAGTAGAACGGGTTCACCGTGTTAGGGCAGGAGATGGTCTCGTCTCTGGACTGTGATCGTGCCAGTCTCGCCTCCCAGAAGTGCTGGGATTACAGACGTGAGCAACCGGTCTGGCTTTTGCTTTTTTTTTTTTTTTTTTTTTTTTATTAGCCTAGTGGTTTTGATGAGCGTTCCCAGCTAGTGGGAAGGCGGACAGGAGGAGGCTGCAGTGAGCTTGATGTGCACCACTGGAGTTTCGGTCTCAGGCGACCGAGGCATAATTTGTCTTTTTTTTTTTTTTATTTTTTTGAGACGGAGGTCTCGCTCTGTCGGCCCGGGCTGGAGTGCAAGTGGCGGATCGTCAGCTCACGTGCAAGCTCCGACTCCCGGTGGCGTTCACGCATCTTCCTGCCTGAGCCTCCGAGTTAGCTGGGACGAGAGAGCCGCATCGCTCCGGCTAGTTTTTATTGTGATTTTTTTAGTAGGCGGGGTTTCACGTGTCGGCCAGGACGGTGTCTCGGTCTCCTGAACCGTCGTGATGCGCCCGTGTTCGGCCTCCGCAAAGTGTCTGGGATTTACAGGCTTGAGAGCCACCGCGCCGGTATCTGTGTCGTGGAAAAAACAATTTTTTGCAGGGAGGGGCACGAGGTGGGGCTCACGTGTCACTCGCCAGCATTGTCGGAGGCTGAGGCAGGTGGATCGCCTGCCGTCAAGGAGTTCAAGGACCAGGGCGCCTGACCAATGTATGGGTAAGCTCGGATCTTTGACTAAAAATACAGAAATTAGCCGGGGGCATGGTGGCAGGGCATCTGCGCAGATCCCAGGTACCTTGGCGAGGTGAGGCCAGGGAGAATGACTTGACGCTGGGAAGGCGGGAGGGGGGGCCTTTTGCCCAGTAAGTTGAGATGGTGCCACTGCACTCCATCCTGGGTGACAGAGTGAGATTCCGTCTCAAAAAAATAAAATAGGCCAGGCGCGGTGGCTCACGCCTGTAATCCCAGCACTTTGGGAGGCCGAGGCGGGTGGATCACGAGGTCGGGAGATAAAGACCATCCTGGCTCACACGGTGAAACCCCATCTCTACTAAAAATACGAAAAATTAGCCGGGTGTGGTGGCGGGCGCCTGTAATCCCAGCTACTCGGGAGGCAGGAGAATGGCGTGAACCCTTGAGGCGAAGCTTGCAGTGAGCCGAGATCGGGCCACCACACTCCAGCCTGGGCGACAGAGCGAGACTCCAACTCAAAAAAATAAATAAATAAAAATAAAATAAAATAAAATAAATATTTAAAATTAAATACAATAAATGAAGCCATTGTCACCACTGCTGTTGACTCCTTGCAGTGGCTGGTGTCTGAACTCCTGAAGAGTCCCCCAGATCTGCCATGGAGAAGCCCTCCGGGAGAATCGCAGTCCAGCAGTTCATGCACCAACACCCTGTGCTGTGCGGCCCCACACAAACCGGCTCCCCTCTCTGGGCCTCAGTTTGGGAAGTGAGAACAACGACCCCCACTCAGCCCCCTCCTCAGAGCTGCCAGGAGCTCGGTTTTCTGAGATGCCAGAGGACGGTTATTTATTTCACAACTGTTCACCAAAAGGGAAGGAAACGGCCCAGTTCTGGGTAGAATCGGCCCTGACAGGCAGTGGGAGCTCCTCTGAGGCTGCAGCCCTGGCCCCCTGGCTCCTGACTGTGTGGAGGGGCTAAGGCGCTTACCCTCTCTGTACCGTGTCCCTGTCAGCGACCAGGAGAGGGACAGCACCCTGGGGGCATGAAGTTCCACACTCCTGCAGCTTCGGGCAATTCTCCTTCTGAGTCCCCTGGAGCTGGGGCTGTTTTCCAGGTCTCTGCCTTGGTGCTCCCCGACGGAGGGCAGCAGGAGAGGTAGGAGCAAGCCCAGGGGACCCACTAGTGCTGACGTGATGACCTGGAGACCAGAGTGCCCGCTGTCCAGTCCTTCAACCATATTGACGGACGGCCGGGCGCGGTGGCTCATGCCTGTAATCCCAGCACTTTGGGAGGCCGAGGCAGGCAGATCACTTGAGCTCAGGAGTTTGAGACCAGCCTGGGCAATATGATAAAACCCCATCTCTGCCAACAAAACCAAACAACACAAAAATTAGCCGGGCGGGGTGGCAGGCACCTGTAATCCCAGCTACTCAGAAGGCTGAGGCAGAAGGAATCGCTTTAACCCAGGAGGCAGAGGCTGCACTGAGCTGAGATCAAACCACTGCACTCCAGCCTGGGCGACAGAACGAGACTCTGTCTCTAAAAGATAAAAACAGGGCCAGGCGCAGTGGCTCACACCTGTAATCCCAGCACTTTGGCAGGCTGAGGCAGATGAATCATCTGCGATCAGGAGTTCAAGACCAGCCTGGCCAACATGGCGAAACTCCGACTCTACTAAAAAGTACAAAAATTAGGTCGGGCGTGGTGGCTCACGCCTGTAATCCCAGCACTTTGGGAGGCCGAGGCTGGTGGATCTCGAGGTCAGGAGATTGAGACCATCCTGGCTAACACGGTGAAACCCCGTCTCTACTAAAAATACAAAAAATTAGCCAGTCATGGTGGCAGGCGCCTGTAGTCCCAGCTACTGAGGAGGCTGAGGCAAGAGAATGGCGTGAACCCGGGAGGTGAGCCGAGATCGCACCACTGCACTCCAGCCTGGGCAACACAGCGAGACTCCATCTCAAAAATAAATAAATAAATAAATAAACAAAAAGAAAAAGAAGAAAAAAAAGGAAACAAAAACCAGTATTAGGCCGGGCGCGGTGGCTCACATCTGTAGTTCCAGCACTTTAGGAGGCTAAGGCAGGTGGATCATGAGGTCAGGAGATCGAGACCAGCCTGGCCAACACGGTGAAACCCCGTCTCTACCAAAAATACAAAAAATTAGCCAGGCCATGTGCAGCGCCTGTAGCTCCCCAGTACCGAGGGAGCTGAGGCAAACAGAATGCGTGAACCGCGAGGTGTGAGCTGGTGCCGTGAGCCGAAACTCGCACCAACTGCACTCCAGCCTGGGCAACAGAGCGATACTCCATCTCAAAATAGATAAATAAATAAATAAACAAAAGAAAATTAGAAAAAAAGGAAACAAAAACCAGTATTAGGAGGGCGCGGTGGCTCACATCTGTAGTTCCGCACTTTGGAGGCTAAGGCAGGCGGATCATGAGGCAGGAGATCGAGGACCAGCCTGGCAACACGGTGAAACCCCGTCTCTACTACAAATACAAAAATTAGCTGGGTGTGGTGGCGGCGCCTGTATGCCCAGATACTCGGGAGGCTGAGGAGAATCACTTGAACTCGGGGGCAGAGGTTGCAGTGAGCTGAGATCACTCCAGCCTGGGGAACAGAGCGATACTCTGGTCCTCAAAAAAAAAAAAAAATATATTATATTATATATATATAGAGAGAGAGAGAGAGAGAGAGAGAGAAAAGGAATAGGATAGTGATAGAATAGATGGAGCCACGGCCCATGTGGCTCACAGCAGTGCCAGATGGGCCCAGTAGACCAAGGCAGAAGCACAAAATCGGTCCCCAAAGTACACAGACCCTGAAGCGGGGTCCCACTGTCCAAGCCCTGGAAACAGGCTTTTCCATTTCCTCTCTTCCTCGCAGCTGCTGTAACAAACTCCCCGGAAACAAGCTGTTTAAAATGACCACCAACTTAGCAGAACACGGTGACTTACACCTGTAATCACAGCACTTCGGGAAAGGCGAAGGCTGGAGGATCCGCTTGGGCCAGGAGTTCAAGACCAGCCTGGGCAACACGGCGAAACCCCGTTCTACAAAAACTGAAAATAATGAACGGGCGTGGTGGCGGCCAGGTGCCTGTGCTCCAGGCTATGTGGGAGGCTGAGGGTGGGAGGATCGGCTTGGCCTAGGAAGGTCGAGGCTGCAGTGAGGCTATGCTTGCTCCCAACTTGTACTCCAGCCTGGCGGCAGAGCAAGACCCTGTCTGCCTACTCTCAATAAATATATTAAATAAGAATGCAATGGCACCAGTTGGCCGGCGCGCGGTGGCTCCACACCTGTAATTCCCAGGCACCTTTGGGAGCCGAGACGGGCAGATCACAGGTCAGGAGATCGAGACCATCCTGGCTAACATGGTGAAACCCGTCCTTACTAAAAATACAAAAAACATGCCGGCGCGCGGTGGCTCACACCTGCAATCCAGCACTTGGGGAGGCCCGAGGCGGGCGGATCTTGAGGTCAGGAGATCGAGACCATTCTGGCTAACATGGTGAAACCCGTCTTTACTAAAACACAAAAATTAGCGGCGCCTGGTGGCAAGTGCTGTAGTCCAGCCGAACCAGGGAGCTGAAGGGCAGGAGAATGGCGTGAACCCGGGAGGCGGAGCTTGCAGTGAGCCGAGATCACGCCACTGCACTCCAGCCTGGGCGACAGAGTGAGACTCTGTCTCAAAAAAATAATAATAATAAAATAAAGGCAGAAATCATCAGAGCTTCCCAGGAGACCCGCCTTCCTCATTGTCCCCACAGTCCTGAGGTGGGCACTGGGGTTGGAGATGGGAAGACTGGGGTTTGGGGGGTGGGGGCCGGAAGGGAGCTGCAGGGTCTCCAGTGCCGCTGTGACCTCGGCTCTTCAGAAAGCTCCCCACACATGCTGAGCTGTGTTGAGGCTGGGTAAACTGAGGCACAGGGGGATCGAGCACCTTGCTGAGGTCACCTGCAGCCCCAGAGCTGTCTCCCCCACCCCCGTTTCCGACCCAGGCGGCAGTGATTATTATCAACATGATTATTATCAGCCACCACCTGAGACCATTGATTTCCCAGAAACGGCCGGCTGGGGTTCAGGCGTTGCTGGTGGGGCCTCCTGACCACAGGCCACAGTCAGGCTCCCCCTTTCCGGCCGTTGGCTGAGGGTGGGAGCCACGGCCCGGAGACCTCTGCAGGGTGACACCAGCCCGCATCCGCCATGGGGCCTGGGTCGGGGGCCTGGGGACGTCCGCTGCTGACCGTGGCCACTGCCCTGATGCTGCCCATGAAGCCCCCCGGTGAGGAGCCCCCCGGATCCCCACCCAGGCCCCCGCCAAGTCCCCGTAGGGCAGCCACACCCAGGAGCCCCCAGTCCCCAGAGAACCCCGGGGAGAGCTCCACCTGCTCCATCTGCCAAGCGCCTGTGGCTGCCTCTGCTGGAAATGGGTGCAAATCCGACGGGGGTCTCGGGCCGGCCCGCCCCGCCCTGTGGAGCCCCTCCCAGCACAACTAGGGGGCTTGTCTGGGCTGTGTCTCCAGCTCTCTGTGTCTCTCTGTCTCGCATCTCACCCGTCTGTGTCTCGGCCGCTCCTTCTCCCCCTGCCCTGACCCCAGCCCGTCAGCCCTTCCTCCTGCCTTGTCCCTGACTCGGGCTGTCCCTCCAGCAGGCTCCTGGGGGGCTCAGATCATCGGCGGCCACGAGGTGACCCCCCACTCCAGGCCCTACATGGCATCCGTGCGCTTTGGGGGCCAGCACCACTGTGGAGGCTTCCTGCTGCGAGCCCGCTGGGTGGTCTCGGCCGCCCACTGCTTCAGCCAAAGGTGAGCTCACCTGTCGGGCCCCTTCTCTCTGGACACCGTGTCCCAACATGAGGGGAACTCCAGGCTGGTGGGGGAGCTGGAGGCGCAGCAACCCGGGACGGACCCATCCCTTGCCTGTGGGGGCTCCTGCAGGAGGGGGCGTCTCAGTGGGGGTCAGATTTAAGGGGCAACAAAGGGAAAACAGGAGGAGAAGTCAGGGAGGCAGAGGAAGCACAAAAGAAGCACCAGGGGCAACAAGTATATATTCTGTGACTGTAACTGTTACTATGTTCTTTTTTTTTTTTTTTTTTTGAGACAGTCTCTGTCCCCCAGGCTGGAGTGCAGTGGTGCAATCTCAGCTCACTGCAGCCTCTGCCTCTCGGGTTCAAGCGATTCTCCTGCCTCAGCCTCCCGAGTAGCTGGGATTACAGACATCTGTCACCACGCCCGGTGAATTTTTGTTATTTTTAGTAGAGACGGGATTTCACCATGTTGGCCAGGCTGGTCTGGAACTCCTGACCTCAAATGATTCACCTGCCTCTGCCTCCCAAAGTGCTGGGATTGCAGGTGGGAGCCACCGCGCCCGGCCTCATTTTAAATATGCTGTTATAATAACTATTAAGATGAATATTGGGGCCAAGGTGGGTGGGCCCCCTCCTGCCGGAGCCCCCACCAGGCAAGAGATGGGTTGGTCCTGGACTGCGGTGTCCCCAGCTCCCCCGCCAGCCTGGAGTCCCCCTCACGTTGGGACATGGTGGGTTGTTTGAGGTCAGGAGTTCGAGACCAGCCTGGCCAACATGGTGAAATTCTGTCTGTACTAAAAATACAAAAATTAGTCAGGCGTGGTGGTGAGTGGCTGTAACCCCAGCTACTCGGGAGGCTGAGACAGGAGAATCACTTGAACCCGGGGAGCGGAGGTTGCAGTGAGCTGAGATGGTGCCACTGCCCTCTAGCCTGAGTGGCAGAGCCAGACTCTGTCTCAAAGGAAGAAAAAAAGAAAGGAATATTGGGGCTGGGCGCAGACAGTCACATCTGCAATCCCAGGGCTTCAGGAGGCCAAGGCAGGAGGATCACTTGCCTCCAGGAGTTCAAGATCAGCCTGGGCAACAAAATGAAACCCCCCGTCTCTACAAAAAATACAAAAATTAGTCAGGAGTAGTGGTGTGCTTCTGTGGTCCCAGCTACTCAGGAGTTTGAGACCAGCCTGGCCAACATGGTGAAACCTTGTCTCTACTAAAAATACAAAAATTAGCCGGGCGAGGTGGCGGGTGCCTGTAGTCCCAGCTGCTTGAAGGGCTGAGGCAGGAGAATCACTGGAACCCGGGAGGGAGAGGTTAAGGTGAGCCAAGATCACACTCCAGCCTGGGGGGGCAGAGTGAGACTCTGTCTGAAAAAAAAGAAAAAAGAAAAATAAAAAGGAAATTAAGTTGGTGCAAAAGTAATTGTTTGTTGTTGTTGTTGAGACGGAGTCTCGCTCTGTCGCCCAGGCTGGAGTGCAGTGGCCGGATCTCAGCTCACTGCAAGCTCCGCCTCCCGGGTTCACGCCATTCTCCTGCCTCAGCCTCCCGAGTAGCTGGGACTACAGGCGCCCGCCACCTCGCCCGGCTAGTTTTTTGTATTTTTTTTAGTAGAGACGGGGTTTCACCGTGTTAGCCAGGATGGTGTTGTTGTTGTTTTTGAGGTGGAGTCTCGCTCTGTGGCCCAGGCTGGAGTGCAGTGGCGCGATCTCAGCTCACTGCAAGGTCTGCCTCCCGGGTTCACACCATTCTCCTGCCTCAGCCTCCCGAGTAGCTGGGACTACAGGCGCCGCCACCTCGCCCGGCTAGTTTTTTGTATTTTTAGTAGAGACGGGGTTTCACCGTGTTAGCCAGGATGGTCTCGATCTCCTGACCTCGTGATCCACCCGCCTCGGCCTCCCAAAGTGCTGGGATTACAGATGTGAGCCACCGCACCTGGCAAAGTAATTTTTTTTGAGACAGAGTTTTGCTCTGTCACCCGGACTGGAGTGCAGTAGGGTGATCTCGGTTCAGTGCAACCTCTGCCTCCCGGGTTCAAGCAATTCTCCTGCCTCAGCCTCCTGAGTAGCTGGGATTGCAGACACCTGCCACCACGCTCGGCTAATTTTGTATTTTTGGTAGAGATGGGGTTTCACCACGTTCGCCAGACTGGTCTAGAACTCCTGGCCTCGTGATCCGCCCGCCTCGGCCTCCCAAAGTGCTGGGATGGCAGGCGTGAGCCACCACGCCCGGCCTAGGCCTCTGTTTCATAGATGAGTGGACTGAGGCCCAGGACAGGCAGCCCCTCACCCCCGTCTCGCCCACCCCTTTCTCCCCGCAGAGACCTCCGCACTGGCCTGGTGGTGCTGGGCGCCCATGCCCTGCGTACCGCAGAGCCCACCCAGCAGGTGTTTGGTATCAGTGCTGTCACCAGCCACCCCGACTTCCACCCTGTGACCCACGTCAACGACATCTGCCTGCTGCGGGTGAGCCCGGGGCAGGGGGTGGGAGGGGGTGGCCCGTAGGAGTATCTGACACATGTTTGGTTTTTGAGACAGAGTCTCACTCTGTCGCCCAGGCTGGAGTGCAGTGGCGCGATCTCGGCTCACCGCAAGCTCGACCTCCCGGGCTCAGGCGATTCTCCTGCCTCAGCCTCCCGAGTAGCTGGGATCACAGGCGCCTCCACCACGCCCGGCTAATTTTTATATTTTTGGTAGAAATAAGGTTTCACCGCCAGGTGCAGTGGCTCATGCCTGTAATCCCAGCACTTTGGGAGGCTGAGGCGGGCGGATCACGAGGTCAGGAGATCAAGACCATCCTGGCTAACATGGTGAAACCCCGTCTCTACAGAAGATACAAAAAAATTAGCCGGGCGAGGTGGCGGGCACCTGTAGTCCCAGCTACTCGGCTGAGGCAGGAGAATGATGTGAGCCCGGGAGGCAGAGCTTGCAGTGAGCCAAGATCGAGCCACTGCACTCCAGCCCGGGCGACAGAGCGAGACTCTGTCTGAAAAAAAATAAGATAAAAGGAGGCAGCAAGCGCCAGTGGCCAAAGCTTTTGGGTGAATTTTTCTCATCCGTGAAACCCTGAAGTCTGGAACCTGCTCTGGTTCACCCAGGCCATTGTACAGATGGGGAAACTGAGGCTGGGGGAGACATCAGGAATGTCAGGGATATACCCAAGATGCACGAGTCAGAGAACCAGAGCCAGGGATTAAAGCCATCCTTCCCAGGCCTGTTAACTGAGTATCAGCCACATGCCAGGCGCCAGGGCCAGGGCCAGGGCCAGGGCCAGAGGCCCGGTGCTGGGCCATGCAGAGCCCAGAGTGTCACACAATCTTCACTTGATAAACCAGCCTTGACGGGCTGCAGGGAGCCCAGAGGAGACTCATGTCCTAGCCTGGCAATCTGGGAAGACTTCCTGGGACAGGTGGCATCCGCGCTGAGATGTGGAGGCTGAACAGGAAAAGGGTCCAGGCTGGGGGTCCGGTGTGAGCAGAGGTACGTGGCAGGCCCAGGGAGTGGCTGTAAATTCATCCTGTCCGGCCAGAGGGGAGGCTGAGGCTGGAGAGCCCTCAGAGGCCCTGGCTGGTGAGCGAAGAGGTTTTGTCCTGAGGGCACTGGGGAGCCAAGGGAGGGCTTAGAGCAAGGAAGGAGAGGGGGTTTGAAAGACTCTTTGAGACCGGGCACGGTGGCTCACTCTGTAATCCCAGCACTTTGGGAGGCCGAGGCGGGTGGATCACCTGAGGTCAGGAGTTGGAGACCAGCCTGGCCGACGTGGTGAAACCCCATTCCTACTAAAATACCAAAATTAGCCAGGTGTGGTGGTGCACGCCTGTAATCCCAGCTACTTGGGAGGCTGAGGCAGGAGAATGGGTTGAACCCGGGAGGCGGAGGTTGCAGTGAGCTGAGATCATGCCACTACAGTCCAGCCTGGACAACAGAGTGAGACTCTCTCTCAAAAAAAAAAGAAAAAAAAGAAAGACCCTTTGGGCAACTGACGGTGACACTGGAGACCCAAGGGGTAGGGGTTTATGTTGGCAGAAGGAACGGGGCCTCCTGACCCGGCCTCATGGTGGCCACCATTGATTTCGCTTCACAAGGGCAGAACCAGGGGTCCCATGGATAAACTGAGGCAGGAGCAGGGGTGGGGAGGGAGCCTGGTGGCCTGAACTCATGCTTTCCCTGCAGCTGAACGGCTCTGCTGTCCTGGGCCCTGCAGTGGGGCTGCTGAGGCTGCCAGGGAGACGGGCCGGGCCCCCCACAGCCGGGACACGGTGCCGGGTGGCTGGCTGGGGCTTCGTGTCTGACTTTGAGGATCTGCCGCCTGGACTGATGGAGGCCGAGGTCCGAGTGCTGGACCTGGACGTCTGCAACAGCTCCTGGAAGGGCCACCTGAGCCATACGATGCTCTGCACCCGCAGTGGGGACAGGCACAGGCGAGGCTTCTGCTCGGTAAGATCCCCTCCCCGCTCCACCCACTTACTGTATGGGGAAACTAAGGCCCACAGAGACAGTCAGGGCCAGGAAGGGCCTTGGGAACTGAGTCCCATTGATATTGGACCAGATGGAGAAGTTGAGGCCCAGGAAAGGCAGGGAGTTGGCAAGGGTCACACAGGGCTGTCATGTTCAGTTGCGCAGGTTGTGCACTGCACAAAGAGCCACACACTTGTGTATTTGCACAAGCGGTGTTCAGTAGAGGGAAGTAACAGATTGAGAGGAAGCAGCTCCCACTCCTAAAATCTTGTCGGATAAATGAATCCCCTGGTGCTAAGGGAGACACGGGGCCTGGAAGGTCTTTTGCAGGCAAGAGAGTGACTTGGTTCAGGACACACACTCTGGAACCCGGCAGCCCAAGCCCAGGAGAAACGAGACTGTCCACTTTCCCAATGTGTGACCTTGGAAAAGTCACTTGATTTCTCTGGGCCTCTTCTTCTCCATCTGTAAAACTGCCACCCGAATAGTTTCTGGTGTCAGAGTGGATTCCAGATGGCAGTTAGGAGGGTAGGATGAGGGATTTTAGGGTGAGTATTCGGGGAGCCCTCTCCAAGGAGAGCACCTTTGAGCTGAGACTTGAAGGAATCCTTAGAAGATTGGAGGAAACACGGCCCGGCACGGTGGGCTTCAAGGCCTTGTTAATCCCAGCACTTTGGGAGGCTGAGACGGGGGCGGGATTCACGAGGTCGAGGAGATCGAGACCATCCTGGCTAACACGGTTGACAACCCCGTTCTCTACTAAAAATACCAAAAAAACTGAGGGCTGGGCGTGGTGGCGGCACCTGTCAGTCCCATGCTCTCGGGAGGGCTGAGGGCAGGAGAATGGCAGTGAAACCGGGGGAGGCGGAGCTTGCAGGAGCCGAGATCTCGGCCACTGCACTTCCAGGCCTGGCCACAGAGCGAGGAACTCCCACCTTCAAAAAAAAAAAAAAAAAAGAAGATTGGAGGAAACACATGCAAGGCAGAGAGACCCATTACTGGAGGGTGGCCGCGTACAGCTGTGCAGGTTGTACACTGCCCAGAACACTGCAGACTCGAATGTTTACACACATAGCATCCAGCACAGGCCAGGAACAGGCCTCCAGGTTGTGCAAAGGCTGGAGCACCGAGGAGGCTGGTGGAGGAAGGCGGGCAGAGAAGTGGGTGGGGGCCGGGTCCTCAGGGCCTGGATGGCAGAGATGAGTTTACTTTTTCCTTGGAGAGCAGTAGGGAGTCAAGCGGGTACTGAGGCAGGGAGCGCGGTGGTGAGATGTGCCTGCCGCAGCTCCCAGAGGCCCTGACCTCACCTCTCCTTTGACTCCAGGCCGACTCCGGGGGGCCCCTGGTGTGCAGGAACCGGGCTCACGGCCTCGTGTCCTTCTCCGGCCTCTGGTGCGGCGACCCGAAGACCCCCGATGTGTACACGAAGGTGTCCTCCTTTGTGGCCTGGATCTGGGACGTGGTTCGGCGGAGCAGCCCCCAGCCCGGCCCCCTGCGTGGGACCACCAGGCCCCCAGGAGGAGTCGCCTGAGCCACAGCCTTGCGGCATGCAAATGAGGTTGCTGCTCGAGGCCTGGAATGTTCCATGGCTGGGGCAGGGGGTCCCTGGGGCCCCAGACACCGGGAGGCCTGATGTTCACCCACAGCTTGTTGGGGTGGGACGGGCAGCGGCGGGGGACACCCGTTCCATATGCAAAGGGCAGAATCTAACCCAGTAAAATGTTAACTGACTTCCAGCCTCACCCGCGGGCGGTCAGCGGCAGGGTCCACCCGTGTTTGTGTCACGGCTCCTTGTCCGCAGCCCCCTTCCACCTTCCCATGCCCCCTACCGTGAACCCCTCTGGGTCCACCCCTGCAGGCCTGCAACCCACACTCCTGCAGCCTCCCACATGGAACGCTGTGCCTCCACCTCCCTCCAGCCGGCCAGCCACACGGCAGATGAGTAAGTAGGCTGGGAACGGAGGCTAGGAAGCCCTGAGCTCCCTCTGCAGGGCGTGGGGGGCCGCTGGACACCAGTGCGGGCTTGCGCCGGCCACACCATAGAATCCCAAGAGGGTCTGGCCTCCCATCCAGCCTGGCGTTCATCCTCTGAAAACCACGGAGAATAGCGCCAGGTGCACGGCAAGTCCCAGCTGATGTTACCGTCACAGCTTGTTATTGTGTTATTTTTTATTTTTAAATTTTATTTCTTATTAATTATTAATTTTTATTTTTATTTATTTTTTTGAGACGGAGTCTCGCTCTGTCGCCCAGGCTGGAGTACAGTGGCGCAATCTCGGCTCACTGCAAGCTCTGCCTCCCGGGTTCATGCGATTCTCCTGCCTCAGCCTCCGGAGGCTGGGACCACAGCACCCGCCACCACGCCCAGCTAATTTTTTTTTTTTTTTTTAGTAGAGACGGGGTTCCACTGTGTTAGCCAGGATGGTCTCCATCTCCGGACCTCGTGATCCACCCGCCTCGGCCTCCCAAAGTGCTGGAATTACAGGCGTGAGCCACCGTGCCCGGCCTTTTTATTATTATTATTATTTTGAAACAGAGTCTCCTTCTGTCACCCAGGCTGGAGTGCAGTGGTGCGATCTCGGCTCACTGCAACCTCCTCCTCCTGAGTTCAAGCGATTCTCTCGCCTCACCCTCCCATGTAGCTGGGATTACATGCACGTGACACCACAGCTGGCTATTTTTTTTTTTTTTTCAAGATAGAGTCTTGCTCTGTCACCCAGGCTGGAGTACAGTGGCACGATCTTGGCTCACTGCAACCTCTGCCTCCCAGGTTCAAGCAATTCTCCTGTCTCAGTTTCCTGAGTAGCTGGGATTACAGGCACCCGCCACTACACCTGGCTAATTTTTGTATTTGTAGTAGAGACAGGGTTTCACCATGTTGGCCAGGCTGGTCTCGAACTCCTGACCTTGTGATTCACCTGCCTCGGCCTCCCAAACTGCTAGGATTACAGGCATGAACCACCACTGCTAGCTGATTATGCTATTATTATTATCTTAGAAACAGTGTCTCACTGTGTCACCCAGGCTGGAGTGCAGTGGTGCCATCCTAGCTCACTGCAGCCTTGACAACCTGGGCTCAAGCCATCTTCCCACCTCAGCCTCCTGAGTAGCTGGGACTACAGGGGCACTTGACCTTTTTTTTTTTTTAAAATGTAGATACACGGGGGTCTCACTATGTTCCCCAGGCTGGTCTGAAACTCCTGGCCTCAAGTGATCCACCCACTTTGGCCTCTCAAAGCGCTGAGATTACAGGGGTGAGCTACCCTGCCCCGGCCCTAATCCTGTTATTATTATTACTGCTATTGTTCACCCAAGTCCTTCAAGGCTGGGCCTCCATTTCTGGGCCCCAAGCCAGCTGGTGTCTTAGGGGTGCCCTAAGCCATCTTGTCTATCCTGTGTGTCCTCCCAAAAGGCCGATTTCCTCTCCCTCCCCTCCCGCACTGCCTCAGCCCCTCCTGGGCTTGTCCACTGCCTGGAGAGGCACTGAGGCTCAGAGGTGGCCAGAGGCTGCCCAAGGACTAATGCTGGGTCTCTCTTCTGGTACCCCCAGAGCCCCCACACGGCACCCCAGGCCCCAGGCCCCAGGCTGCCAATCCCATGGCCGAGGGGGTGGCCTGAAGCCCTGAGAGAGGAGACAAACTGAGGCCTGGACACCCCAAAATGGCTTGAGTCTTTATTTCTTTGGTGAGGCAGGGCCCCGGGGTGGGGAGGGCTGCCTGGTTGAGGCTCCCGTAGACCCACCAGCCCAGGGGCACTTTTCTGGGCACCACAGGTAAGGCACTGCCTGGGGGCTAGAGGAGGATGCCCAAGCTCCCAGCACTCCTCATCCCAGACCGGGGAAGCTGGATTTCCTCCACATTGTCCCCTCCCCATAGCTGGTCTGAGGCTCTGGTTTACACGCAGGCACAGGTAGGCAATTCTGAGCGACAACCCAGATGGAGGGGAGGGTGAGCCGTCGTGGGACAACTGGCCCAAGACCAGCACCTGGCTGGTGTCGCCAGCTCCAGCTGTGCTGGTGGGTGAGGCAGGTCTGGCATGTAGCCGGGGCGGGCTACATGTAGGGGACCGAGAAGCTCTGGGTGTGAACCCCACTGTGGAGGCAGCAGCCACCTAGTGGTGCTGCTGGGACACCCGGCTCCAGGACTCCAGATGTCACACATGCGTGAGTCTTGGTGTCTACACTCCTCTCGGGGCCAGTGGGTGAGCAGGGGTCCGTGGTCCCTGCCGGAGTCCCCCCACAGTGGACTGGGCTCCGCTGGACATAGTGCCCTGCGCTGAGCTGCCGCTGGCTGCCGCATGCCTGAGACCATGTGATGTCGCCTAGTGAACTGACCGTGGACGGCAGCAGGGGAGGCGCTGGGCGGTTCTGTGGCTGAGCACGGCCCGTGTCAGGAGGACAGGCCGTGCCCTTTCCCATGGGTCACACTGGGCATTTCTCAACGGCCTTCTCAGGATGGGAAGGGGCATACAGAGGCAGTGGGGAACCTGGAGCTCTTGAGCTGGCAGGACAGTGGCAGCCTTGGCCTTCATGAAGGGCCTGGCTTGCTGGACTGAGGTCACAGTGTTCTGAGGTCCCCACACGCATTCAGGCTAGACCCTCCGTACTCACCCAGGCTAGACCCTCCGTACTCACCCAGGCTAGACCCTCCGTACACACCCAGGATAGACCCTCTGTACTCACCCAGGCTAGACCTTCCGTACACACCCAGGCTAGACCCTCCATACTCACCCAGGCTAGACCCTCCGTACTCACCCAGGCTAGACCCTCCGTACACACCCAGGATAGACCCTCCGTACTCACCCAGGCTAGACCTTCCGTACACACCCAGGCTAGACCCTCTGTACTCACCCAGGCTAGACCTTCCATACACACCCAGGCTAGACCTCCTCTGCTCCTCCTGGCCTAAGCCCAAGGCCCCTGTTCTAGGACGGTTGGGGCTGAGAAAAGCAGTCATGCCTCTTCAGGAATTACCAGCAGGGAATGCTCAGCCCTCTTAATGGTAGCAATAATTAACAGGTTTATCCCCAAAGGAGCAGAGCAGAAGTGTGGAGTCCTCCCCAGCAATAGGTCTTAGGGTAGGGGCTGGAGCTTCTTAGAGAAAGGCCCTAAATCAGGGGCTCGGTGTCCGGAATGCAGGTCTACCCCACCCACCAGCCGGCCCCCAGGCCACCCTTCCTCAGTCCTTCCAGGGGGGTTCTGGGATCCCCAAGTGGTCCGAATCCAGGCCCTAGGGAGTGTCCATGGGATATAAATTAGACTCTGCTGTGGCAATAAATAACGGGGTGGGGGGCGGCCTCGGGCACCAGGCCCAGGCCTGTCCTGCAGGCTCACACGAAGTTCTCTTCCTCTTCCTCCGACTCACCATCTGGCAGCTCCTCAGGGGTGCCTGCAAGGGTGGATAAGAGCATTGAGGGCGCCCGGCAGGGGGTTCTCCGGCCCCCAGGACAGGCCTGTGCCCTCGCCCTGCGTTTGCACCTGCGCAGCTGCCCGCGTGGCGCACACCGATGGAGCGGCCCAGGAAGCAGGTGGCCTGGCGCAGGTGGCACGAGGAGATGTAGGTGACGTTGTTGTTGCCGCAAAGCTCCTGGCCGGGGCTGGAGGGCACAGGGCAGGGCGCCGCCCGACACACCACGCAGTGGGCGCTGCCCGTCTGGTCCACGACGCACGACTGTGGCCGCGGGCACACCACGCGCTCACAGGACTCTGCAGGCCGGGTGCCAGGGACAGTTCAGGAGACATCTCGCTGAGAACCCCGCAGGGCTCTTGGCCCCAAGACCTGCCCTTAACCCCCAAGTTGAGAAAACCCTCTGGCAGGACACAAGCCCCCCGCACCTCCCCATGAGCCCCCCTCTCCATCCCACCCCTTGAGCTCCACCCACAAGCCCTGCCCCTCCAATTGTACCCAGGAGCCACACCCCTTCCAGGAACTCCGCCCCTTATGTTACCCACAAGTCCCACCCCCTAAAGCTCCCACAAGCCCTGTCCCCGATTGTACCCAGGGGTCATTCCCCTTCCAGAAGCCCCGTCCCCTTACCACCCACAAAGTCCCACCCACCACCAGGCTCCACCCACAAGCCCTGCCCCTCCAATTGCACCCAGGAGCCACACCCCTTCCAGGAGCCCCGCCCCTTACGTTACCCAAAAGCCCCACCCCCCGATTGTACCCAGGAGTCACTCCCCTTCCAGAAGCCCCACCCCTTACATTAGCCATAAGCCCCACCCCCTTACCACCACAAAGCCCCGCCCACAATCAGGCTCCACCCAGAAACCCTGCTCCTCCCACGAGCCTCGCCCCTTGTTACCCAGAAGTCCAACCCCCCATAGAACTCACAAGCCCTGCCCCTCCGATTCTACCCAGGAGTCTCTCCCCTTCCAGAAGCCCCACCCTCTTACCACCCACAAAGCCCCGCCCCTCCACGAGCCCAACCAACCCCCTCAGGCTCCACCCACAAGCCTTGCCCCTCCCATTGTACCCAGGAGCCACACCTCCTCGTAACCCCTAACCCTTGTTACCCAAAGCCCCGCCCCTCCGCGACTGCGGGGCCGCCCACCCAAGCTCCACCCACAAATCCCCGCCCATCTCCACCCAGGAACCACGCCCCAGTCAAGAGCCCCGCCCCTTCCGTGACCCAAAGTCTCACCCCCTGGTTCCATCATGCCCCTCTGGTTACACCCACAAGCGCCTCGCTGCGTCACACTCCCGCTCTGACCATGCCACATACCTCTCGCCCAATGTGAGCCCCAGAGGCCCACTACTTTCCAAATCCCAACCCTACAAAAGACCCCACCCCGTAATACTCCCTCCGAAGTGTAAACGCGCCCTTAATTAGGCCCCACCGCGACCCACGTGACATATAGTGGGCTGGAGGCCCCGCCCCCACGTACTGCGGCAGCGGCTCCGCCCCTCCAGCAGGCCCCGCCCCCGGAGGCCGGGCCGTCACGCAGGCCTCGCCCTCACGCATTGCAGCAGCAGCCCCGTAACGTGACGCACAGGTCCGGGTGGCCCCGCCCCAGTCCCCGCCCCCACGTACTGCGGCAGCAGCCTCGATACGTGACGCGCAGGTCTGGTAGGTCCCGCCCCGCCCCAGGCCCGCCCCGCCCCTCCACAGACCCCGCCCCCACGTACTGCGGCAGCGGCCCCGGTACATGACGCGCAGGTCCGGGTGGCCGCGGCAGCGCGCGGCTCGCAGCTCGCACTCGTCGCGGTAGGTGGCGCCGTCTGAGCCGCAGACCTGCAGCCGCGCCGGGAGTCCAGAGCAGTCGGGCGCGCACTCGCAGCGCGGGCGGCCCCCCAGCATGCGGCACGCCTTGCCCGGGCCGCACTCCACGCCGTCGCACGAATCTGCGGACACAGGACACGCGCGTGGGGCCGGGCACGGGAGGTTCCCGGGCGTGGGGCCGCGCGAAGGCCTCGGGGCCCCTCCCTGCGCCCCCTCTGCAGGGCGGAGGCGGGGGCGCCGTCCCAGGTCAGGGTCAGTCGGAGTCGGGGCGTTCGGGTTCCCAGGAGCAGGGCTCCGGGTCGAGGCGCGGGACCGGTGGGGCTGGGGGCGGGGGCTGGGCTCGGTGCGCGCAGGCCGCGGGGTCTCTGCCCGGAATCGGGGTCCGGCGGAGCTACGCAGCCTCGGGCCGCTCCTCCTTGTAGCTGGCTGACGTCTGCCCCCGATGCACGCGCTTTTCTGGGAAGGCCGGAGGGGCCCCAGCTGCGTCAGCCTGGGGTGTTCCGCCCTTGCCAGGCGCGAGTCTGGGGCTGCCGGAATCTTCCCCCAGGAGGCGTCGGGGAGGGCGGGGCTCTGGACACCCCTCCTGGCCTGGGGAGCGATTCCAGGGGAGGGGGCCGCCCACAGCCCTAGGCCTCTGAACCAGGAGTTGCCCCGCAGCCCCACTGCTCAGGCAGGGATACTGAGGTCCTGCTAGGGAAACTCTCTCTGGGGTCCCCGCCCCCGCTTTTCATGTGATGTTCATCGCCACCTAGGCTCATTGCATCCTCCCAAGTCATCATTTTACAGATGGGGAAACTGAGGCCGGGTCGCAGCTATGAGTGCAGGGGACCCAAGCACCTCAGCTTGAAAGCTGCAGCAGGACCCAGATGACCGATCCCCTTTCTGTTGTCTGTGGGTCTGGTGGGGCCTCTGAACACAGCTGTTGTTTATGTGTCAGCCTCAGTTTCTCTGTGTGTAAAGCGGGGCTGACGGGGGAGCCCCACTTACAAGGCAGTCAGGCACTCCTTAGAGGATGGCCAGCGCCCCCCACGAAGCCCTGCAGGGCATGTGGGCCGCACCTGGGCGGCCCCCGCACAGCGGCTCACAGGCACATCTGGAAATGCTTGGCCAGGATGGCTTTCATACAAGCGAGAACGGAAGGGGGCCTGAGTTCCCGTCCCCAGGGCCAGATGAGGTTGGGGGTGGGGGGTCCTGGGCCGTCTCATGCCCAGGCCAGGCACTTTTTGAAGTCTGTCCTTCTCCCAGAAGCCAGAGGGGGGTCTGGAGGGAGCCAGGGGTATGTGGCAATGAGTTCAGGACCACCCAGCCAGGCTGATCTGGGATTAATCACATCTCAGAGGCTAACAGAGTTCCTCAGCCTGGCCTTCGGGTCTGTACCCCTCAGCTCCAGCCTCCCCCTGGCTCCTCTGACTCACCCCACCCACCAGGACCTAACCTCACCATGTTCTCTTCTGATCCCCTCTCCCATACCAGCTCCATCTGGCAAACTCCTAGACATCCCCCAACACCCCAGCTCTAATGCCCACCTCCTTCAAGTGCCCCAACAAAGGCATGGTGGCTCATGCCTGTAATCCCAGCACTTTGGGAGGCCAAGGCTGGCAGATCACTTGAGGTCAGGAGTTTGAGACCAGCCTGGCCAATGTGATGAAACCCCGTCTCTACCAAACATATAAAACTTAGCCAGGCGTGGCAGTGCACACCTGTAGTCCCAGCCACTGGGGAGGCTGAGGAAAGAGAATCGCTTGAACCCAGGAGGCCGAGGTTGCAGTGAGCCGAGATTGCACCACTGCACTCCAGCCTGGGTGACAGAGCAATGCTCCGTCTTAAAAAAAAACAAAACAAAAAATTCATCCTCCAGTGCGGAGAGTATATCTTAACTCATTCATTCGTTCTCTGCCACCCAAGAGCCCCTAGTTTGATGGGGAAGGCATTGTCTCAGAAGAGGGTCCCGAGTGGCTGGGCGCGGTGGCTCACGCCTGTAATCCAGCACTTTAGGAGGCCGAGGCAGGCGGATCACCTGAGGTCGGGAGTTCGAGACCAGCCTGACCAACATGGAGAAACCCCGTCTCTACTAAAAATACAAAAAATTAGCCGGGTGTGGTGGCGCACGCCTATAATCCCAGCTACTAGGGAGGCTGAGGCAGGAGAATCGCTTGAACCTGGAGGGTGGAGGTTGCGGTGAGCCGAGATCGTGCCATTTCACTCCCGCCTAGGCAACAAGAATGAAACTCCATCTCAAAAAAAAAAAAAACCGGGTCCCGAGGCAAATGCTTGTTAAACATGCAGCTGTAACCCCACCACAGACCCTGGAGTCTGCAGTGAAGGTCCCTGGTGTGAACATTTGGGGTCACAGGCCAGAATGGCAAACCCACCTTCCCAGGAGCTAGGTGTAAGCCAGACATTTATCGAAGAGCCACCCAGGCAGAGAGCTCAGCCCCAGCAAAGGCTCAGCCACGTGGGGAGTCCTCAGGGCCTCTTCCTGAGCCCTAAGCTGCAAGAGACTGAAGCCTGGGAACTGGGAGGTGCCCCCAGTCCCTCTCTGAGACCAGGATCCCCCCTGCAAGCCCTGTGACAGGCTCAGCCCCGCATGTTTTACCCTGGACCACTGTGACTGTTTTTGGCTGGTCCCGAGCTGAGATGCCTGCCCTGCTTCTGGCCTGGGGTCTCACCTTTGCAGGGAAGGCAGTGGACAAGGCCCAAGAAGCCAAGGAGGTTGATCTTGTTCCCCGGGTGAGTGAGGTTGGACCAGGCGGTGTCAATGCTGCCGGAGGCGCAGCACTCGGCCCGGGTGACGTCAGTCCGGAGCACCAGGCTGCAGGTGGCCTCCTGGCCCTGCTGGAGCCAACAAACACCACCTGCGGGCCAGGGGACGGGGTGCTCTCCTGGGCCACTCCTGACACCCAGCTTCTGGCCCGCCCACAGATGCATGCAGGTGGTGCTCAGTAGTTACGCACGGGATGATCTACCCCAACCCAGGAAGAGGGGTAGAAAACCACATGGGGGTCCCCACCCTGGCTCCAGGTCCCTGGAGATGCCTCCTCCCCTCTAGCTCTATGTCCCCCCAACACCCTCACCACCAACCCTCACCCATCCCAGCAGGTCCCCCCTCGTTCCCTCTGAGCCCCCAGGCCGGGGGCTGGCACCCTGCCCAACCCGTCAAACACCACCCAACGCCAGGCACTGGGCATGTCAGGGTCAGTGGGCCCTGGAACCGCTTCTCCCGCCTCTGCCCTCTGTCTAGACAGCACCCGAGGGCGAGGGCACGTGGAGCCCCGCGCCTGGCAGCCCCCCCACCGCCTGGCCCGCCTCTTACTCACTCCAACTTGGGAACATTCCCCTTGCATGAGCTCACTGTCTCCCCAGGGACGTGGCCTTCGGGGAGGGGTCTCTGCTCTCCCTTTGGCGTGGGGCTGGGGTGGGGTGGGGCTGCAGGGATGGGGGGTGGGGAGCCAGAGAGCCCCCAGTTTCTTCCCCTGTCCCTGGGGGCAGGAACGGCCACAGCCCCCTTCCCAGAGCACTCGCTGGTTCACAGACACTGCCAGGGACCAGCTTGGGGAATGCAGCACCTTGGCACCCATCATAGGGGAAACTGAGGCCAGGAGTGGGGCCGTCTCCTGCCTGGCGCCTCCCGGCAAGTCCCAGGTGTGAGTCTCCATGCCTGGTCTACCCAGGACCCGGGGAAGCTCTCAGCCCCAGCTGGAGGGCCTGGCTCCAGACACCCAGCGCTGCCTCTCAGGGTTCCAGACGGTCGCGGCTAGAACCCTGGCTTTGCAGCCTACAGTCTGTGTGACCCTGAGCCTCAGTTTCCCCATCTGGAAGACGGAGATGAAGAGAGCTCCGGCACTACTGGGATGGCACGGGTTCAGGGAGGGGAGAGGTAGACACTAAGCGCTCAATAAATGTCAGCGGTCATTGTGATTAGGAACCTCTGCTCTGCTGACCTCCTGGTGACCCCCCTTCAGACCCTCCCGGCTCCAGCTTGCGCCGGACACCGCCCTCGCCCCCACCGCCGTCGCGCCCCCCGACGTCCCCCCGGCCGCATTCCGGGCAGCCCCACGTGGGTGGCCCGCCCCGCCCGCCCCTCTGGCCGCCCCACTCACCGGGCGCGGGATCCCCCGAGCCCATGGAGCCCACGAAGCCCACGGCCCAAGCCAGGGCCCCCCAGGGCAGAGGCCAGAGTGGCCCTGGCGCCCCGGGACGCATGGCGAACGCAGAGACGGCAGCGGCACTGACTTCCCAGCGCGCGGCCGGCGCTCCCTATAAAGGTCCCGCGGGCCGCGGGCGGGGCGGGGCACGGGGCGGGGCGCGGCGCGGGAGTGGCGGGGGCGAGGCCGTGTCCCGCGCGGGGTGGGCAGGCGCCGGGCCCGGCCGCTGCTGGGGGCGCGCGCCCGGGTCCCCTCCCGGAGCCAGAGAATGCATCTGGGGAGATGTGGCTGGACCCAGGGCGGAACTGGGACCGGGGTGTGGGTTCGAGGTGGTGGCAGCCTTTTGGGTGGATGGAGGGGCCGTCTCCAGGAGTCAAAGTGGGTGTGGGGATCTTCAGTTGCAGGGGTGGTGGTGAGCTAGCGGGGACCCACAGGGAGCACGTCTGTGGATCCCTGTACCCCGTTTCTGTGATTTGCATGTGGTCACTTTCATAGTCTGAGCCCCCCAACCCGGCCTCCTTGGTCCCGACCTGCCCTACCCACCCAAAACCTCAGCTGGATATGGTTCCCTGCTCATGGCGCAGGCCGCCCACCCGTCCACCTGGCCGCTGGAGCCGGCCTGTGGGTGGGGAGAGGTTGGGTGTGGGACAGAACGGGGTGCGGCCGGGACAGACCCAGAGACACAGCTCCTTCCAGCATCCTGGACAACAGCAGGCCTCGCCCAGCCAAGGCCCCCAGGGAGGCCACTGTCTGTGTGTGTGCGCGTGTGTGCGTGCACGCCAGGCCTTTGTCCTGGGCCCCTGGGCAACTCTGCCCCCAACAGCCTCCCAAGCCTTTGGGAAGGTTCCCCCAGGTCATATCAACAAGAATGTTTACTAGGTTTTTTTCCTCTCCCTCCGAGATTCAGCAAACACTGTTTCAAACGCTGTTTCCAGCAGAGGCGTTTCCCACAATTTATGACAGCGACATCTGCGTGGGCCCGGAGGCGCTGTGCCCGGGGGGCTTTGCTGCAGCCAAATACATTTCCTACTTGGGAGCTGATGCTGCGGTGGAGGCCTCCGGATCTGTCAGGGCGCCCGTGGCCAGCTCAAGGGTTCTGCGGAGCCCGTCTGTTCCCGCTTCTAAGGAACCGTCAGTGAACATCTCTTGTTGGCCAGAGGAGCCCTGCAGGGTGCTGGGGTGCCGTGGTGACCAAGGCAGACTCCATCACACGCTCGCCGGGCTCCTGGTTTGGAGGGGCCATAGACAGCAAAATGCAGAGACAAATTAATCTGTAACTTCAAAGACTGGTAAATGCTTTCAGGAAAATAAAGAAGGTTGAGGAGATGGAGAGCAGTTGGGTGTCTCCTGGGGATGCCTGTGTCTGGCCGCTGGCTGTTCCGGCGTTGCCCGCCCCCCAGGTGTGGAAACGGAGGCGTTCAGCAGCCCCACGGCACAGCCCCTTCTCTGGCGTAAGTGAGACCTGCGCCTACGGACGATGCACCTGTACCCTTTCCTCCACCTCAGCTGCCCAGCCTGACTGTGTACCCTCGCAGCCAGTGGCCAGGGGCCAAGTTCCTGCCCTAATGGCCGTGAGGGGGACACCCCGCCGTCTTGACCTGGCCTTGGCCTCTGGCATTCCCCTGGGAATCTCCCCGGGTTGGGGAGCGGGGCAGGGACAGGACCCTGTGTTCTCACTGAGGGTGTGCGGGGGCTGGACAGTGTGACCTTGGCCAAGACCTGACCCCGCTGTGGCTCAGCCACTCCGGCCTGGGCTGTGCGAATCAAAGGGTCATTGTCTGGCTGGCGTGGGTTCCGGCCCTCTCCGGGGAAACCGAGGCCAGCTGCCAGTGGCCTCCTGCTCCCGGCTCTGTCTTCCTAACCCAGAGGCTCTGTGGGGTGACCTCAAACAGGTCACTGGCCTTTTCTGGGGCACTGCCTCCTCCTGAGACCCCAGTGACGACCTCCCCTCTCCCGGCTCTGCCCCTCTCCCTACCCTATCCAGCCCCGAGGCTCATCCTAGGACCTCCACCCGCAGCCTGGCCCCCGTGGCCCACTTCGTACCCCAGCTGCCATAACACCTCCCTGGCTCAGACACCTACCGTGGGTGCCGTGGCCTCTGCTCACCCCCCCAGGCTTCTGTCTCCCTCGAGGTAAATCCTGACAGGTAAACAGTAACAATCCGGTGTTGTTCTGTGGTAGAGGATGCCCAGATAGCAGAGGTGCCCCAGGCCACACCCAGGCCTGGGGGAGACTGAGGAAGGCTTCCCAGAGGAAAGGGATGTTGAGGTTGAGACGAACGTTGGTTGGAATGGCAGGGGTGTGCGGGGTGCTGTGCGTGAAACAGACGCTTTGTGCTGTGTGGGCTGACGTGGTGAAGTTCAATTGGCGGGTGGTCCCCCGCAGAACGGCGGCCCCAGAGACACGGCCCTCATCCCTGGAACCTGTGGGGTGTTCGGCCACCGCCTCCCCGCAAAGGGCTCTGCCAAGAGCGGACTGAGTTGAGGACTTTCACGACAGGCTCCAGCCTTTGGCGTTATAACAAGGATGCCCACTGTCCTCGAAAGCGTCCGCGTAGAAGAGGATGCCTGGCCTGGGCGGCGGTGGAATCCCACAGCACATTAGGAGCCTGAGCATGGTCGGCATCAGCTTGAGCCCGTCAGGAGTTCGAGACTTAGACTAGCCCGGAATATTGGTAAAAACCTGTCTTGCTACCGTAAATCATACAAACAAAGAAAAACGGTGG